ATTGTAGCACTATTCACAATAGCAAAGGTATGGAAATGACCCCAGTGTCCATTAACAGACTAATGGATAAAGAAAATGTAGTATATATAAAAAATGGAATACTATTTGATCATAAAAAGAAATAAATCTTGTTATTTGCAGCAACATACATGGAAGTGGAGATCCTTAAGTTAAATAACACTAATGGGAACTAAAAAAGTTGATCTCATGAAGGTAGAGAGTAGAATGATAGATATCAGAAACTGTGATAGGTATGTCCAGAGAGGGTTCAATGAAGAGAGTTGGTTAGTGGATACCAAAATACAGTTAGACAGAAGAAATAAGTTCTAATGTTCAATAGCAGAGTACGGTTACTATAGTTAAAAATAATGTATTGTATATTTCAAAATAGCTAGATGAGAGTATTTGAAATGTTCCCAACACATAGATATGATAAATACTCGAGGTGATGGATACCCTTAAATACCCTGACTTGATCATTACACATTTTATGCATGTAACAAAATATCACATATACCTCATAAATATGTACAAATATGTTCTACTCAGCCACAAAACCAATGGTTATATAGCACCTCTTGTTTTATATTGGGGAGAGCTGGAGCCCATTCTACCAAGTGAAGTATCCCAAGAATGGAAAAACAAGCACCACATGTACTCACCATCAAATTGGTATTAGCTGATCAACACTTAAGTGCATATATAGTAATAACATTCCTCGGATGTCGGGCAGATGGGAGGGGGGAGAAGGGGATGGGTATATACACACCTAATGGGTGTGGTGCGCACCATCTGGGGGATGGACATTCTTGAAGCTCTGACCTCAACATTTGTACCCCTGTAATATGTTGAAATAAAAAAAATAAAAGCATGTGTTTATACAGAATTATTGGTAATCAGCACATATGCAGGCCCAGGGATGACACAGAAAAGAGGCCTGAGAGACCTTAAGATTTTATGCCAGACTCATTGGTGAAAGTTTCAACTGCATTGAACCAGAATGCAAAAACTGGGAGAGATTTTGCTTTCTGTTATTTTTCAAATGGCCAATATAAACGAAAAGTTTCACAATGTATACAAAGAAACAGAAAATATTGTCCACTCAAAGAAACAAAATAAATCTCAAGAAAATGGTGCTGGAAAAGCACATGCATTGGAAAAAGACTTCAAAAAAACTATTTTATGTTTCATGTAAGCCTCGAGGTAACCATAAAGAAAAAAGAATTCTAGTAAATACATAAAAGATGAAGAGAAAGGAATAAAAGCATACCACTACAAAAAAAAAAAAA